GGTTATTCCCCACGACGCCGGCAGAGCTCCGCCGCCACATGCCCACACCTGAGCTCTCGGAACATGCCACGCTGCCGAGGTAGTCACCCAGCGCACGGGCTGGCTTGCTCCCTGTGGCTCCCAGCAGCACCGCTGAGCCCCCTCCTGCGCCGGAGAAGCCGGCTGTGACTGCCGCAGAGGCTGAAGGAAGGGGAAGCTGCACTGGCCAAGGCAGCTCCTGACAGACCCAGCAACAGCAGCAAATGTGGAGCGGCAATGCCACAGCTCCTCCAGTAGGGACTGAGGCTGCAGAGACGTGGCACCTGCACAGACGCCTGGTGGGACTTACCGCTCTGCACAGGGTCCGGCGTCCCAGCGGCTCCCTGCTGCGCTCCTCCAGCCGGCACCCACGGACCGCTCCCTTCCCCCGGCACGGGCCAGCTGCCCCTAGCAGCGGGCGGCCCCGCCCATCCCCCCGTGGCACCTGCCCAGACGCCTGGTGGGACTTACCGCTCTGCACAGGGTCCGGCGTCCCAGCGGCTCCCTGCTGCGCTCCTCCAGCCGGCACCCACGGACCGCTCCCTTCCCCCGGCACGGGCCAGCTGCCCCTAGCAGCGGCTGCCGCGGCCCATCTCCCGGGATGGCGGTGCTCTCCTGGAGGGGAGGGGACATGCTGCGTCAGGACACGGGGCCAACCCAGCGCCCCATCTCGAGCAGGGAAGCAGCCGGCCGCCTGGCACTGGACGCCCAGCCAAGCCAGCAGGCTACTGGCCCCACTCCCTGCCGGCAGGTTGCTGGGCTGCGCTCTTGGCCTAGCACAGCGCAAGCCCTTCCCCCGTTGCGCAGCCGTCTCCTCTCAGCGGCTATAAATACGCACTGTCTCCAAACATCCTGAGCCAGGAGCCATCCTCCCTCGGCCGTCTGTGCCGCTCGATTAGCAGGCAGGAAAGCGCCCCTCCCCTCTGGCCACGGCTGCCACGCAGCGATACGGCCCCCACTTCGCAGGCACAGACCTGGCCAGAGCCACTAAGCCAGCGCTGAGGCCGCTGGGAGCAGGTGCCTGGGGCGTGGGTCAAGGAGGGTGGCAGCAGCAGCGCATTGCTGGGGGTGGGATCTGCAGCTGCACTTTGCCAGAACAGCCCCCTGCTCCCGCCCTGGGCACCGTATCAGGCACCCAGCCAAACGTGGGGAGCAGACACCTACAAGCCCAGTGCGCCTGAGCCCCCCAAATCTGGCAGGGGCAGCGGGAATAGAGCATGCAGGGCAGCAGCAGAGGCTCTGGAAGGCAAGGCCGCCCTCAGCTCAGGAAGCAGAAGCAAACACACCCAGCCTGGATTGCAGAATGAGCCCAGCAGCTGGCTCGGGAAAGCGATGCTCTGAGCCTCCCAAGCGCCCACAGGACCCAGAGCCCAGCACAGCCTCCCCAGCTGCCCAAAGATGCTGCTGCCCTCCCTGACCCACGCCCCAGGCACTTGCTCCCAGTGGCCCCCCATCAGCATGAGTCGCAGGCGGGGCCAGAGGGGAGCAGCTGGAATCACTCCCCTTATCCGAGCTCCCAGAACAGGGGCTGCAGGGAACACAGGGCCAGCCAGAGGCCCCGCCAGGAACAACTCCTCCAGGGACCGGGCAGCACAGGGCTGGAGGGCTCAGTTACGCCCCTGTCCCAAGGTCCCCTGCCAGCCATCTAGCGCCCCACGGAGCCCACCCCAGTGCACATCACGCTGCAAGCAGGCCCGCCTGGGTCTGCCCTACACCAGTGGAGAGCCACAGAGGGAACAGGTGTGGGGACAGCATCTGCGCCTCTGCTCAGGAAAGTGGTCTTCCAGCAGGTTTCTGATCCCCCTTCTGCAGCTGCCACAGCCTGCAAGTAAGGGACACCGCGAGCCCCAACAGAGCACTCAGCGGAGCCAGCAGGCCCCATCCCTGCAGCACCCTGCTGCCCAAGCTCTCCTGCCACCAACACAGCTCACAGGCCTCTCAGAGACACCCGCCCTCCCCATCCAGGGTCAGCCAGGGAACCCCAAGAACCAGCGAGGACCAAGGCCACAGCAAAAACCCCTCCACACTTTACAGCAGCAGCATTGCTCATCGGCTCCCAAGGATTTCAGCACAACCAGCCATCCGACCATTTCCAACAGCCGGGGGAAGGGAGACTGCCCCAGGGCCCAGCAATTCCAAAGAGCCAGGGTTCCAGGTAGGGATGTTAAATATCGGTTAACGGAATAGTCAACTCACCTCAGGAATTCCTGTCGGTTACTCGACTATTCTACACTACTCGGGGGTGGGGCTGGCAGCCACTGCACTCCAGCCAAACTTGAACCACCCTCTTTGCTTGTTGAATTGGTAGATGGTGTGGGATACATTTTGGGGATGTCTATGTTGTTTATCAAATATATAGTATCAATTTCAAAGGCAGTAAAATCAGAAAACATACCATTAGTAACATTCTTAGGAATGTTACTCCATGAAGGCAAATTGTGTGGATGGGAAGGGGGAGAATGTGTGCAGTCTGTAGCATTAACCGATAAGCTTCTGCTTATTGATTAATTGGTGAATCGACTGCACGATTACAGCTGGAAATCACGGCGGGAGCGCCGGGTGGCACAGAAGGGCTGACAGGGAGCAGGCTAGCTCCCAGCCCTGTCCTTTCCGGGAATGCAGAGCCACTCCGCCCCCCCTCTTCCCCCACACACACACACAAACACACAGCCCAGGCTCCTCTGTGGACCCCCTGACAACAGCAGCGAAGAGGAGAGCGCTCTACTTAAGGGGAACGAGGCACAGGCAAAAGACAAAGCCGCACAGGCCACCAAGTCAGCAACACGCAGGGCTCAGGGCAGCTCGAACCCGAGGAACGAGTCCAACCCAAAGCTCCCTGGAGAGGAGCCTGCTGCTGCCAGCTCTGGCCATTTACCATCCATCTCCCACTCCATTCGGGGGTTAGACAGTCGCTGGTAGCGATGTGACAATCCCTCCTCGGGTCCAGCTGCCGTGGCGGAGGAGAAAGATGGGTAACACGACAGCTCAGACACCCAACACCACTGATTTTTTCAGTCTCACGATTTTAAAATCACTCAATATTTGAGGCCCAACTCACGATTTTCCAAAGGCTTGGCTCTCAGAAGCCACTGGCACATGCCTGCCTGGCCAGCCTGTCCGGGCCACCTGCTATAGACAGCATCAGCAGGACAGCTGAGGAAGAAGCCCTCAGGAGAGCGGTTTTAAGATGCAACAGCAACTCACCAGCTAGTATTCACTGCCCTGCAGTGCTGCCTGCCTGCTGCATGGCACATCTGCTCCTGCGAAGATCTTCACTCATTGCCAGCCCAGCGGGCCTGCCCAGCACCCAACCGAAGGCGGACCCACAACAGCCTGCCAGCTCAGGCAGGCTTCGCTCAGTACAGCCTTGGCCTGCAAGTGCTCCTGTGCCGCCTAAGGCAGCCAGCAAACAGGTATTCTCTTCAACTGAGCCAGGGTCTAACTCGCACCAGGAGGCATCCGGTCCACAGTCACTTCTCTACCGAGAGAAAAGCATCGTAGGTCTCTCAAACGTCTCTCAGTTAAGCTGCACAGCTTTGGCTGCAGTCCTGGGACCCAGGGTCTCCAGGGCGAGTCACTGGTCCTTGAGTTCGCACTTAGAGCCAGATACAACTAACAGCAGTTAGCTTCCATTCTGCCTCTGCCGGAAGACGAGCTGAAGGAATAAGCCGACATCACCGCTCCCTGGGTCTAGTCAGCCAGGTACAGCACTAAACAGGTCTGTCTCCAATACACCCACATGCAGGGAGGAATGGAACGCAGCATTTAGCATGTCCAGGCTTGTGAGACAGGTGGCTGCTCTCAAGCAAGAGGGATTTGATGGAAGTTGCTCCAGAGGGAGCAGCACACAGGCACAGGCAGCTATACAGACTTTGCTCTCTGGACGGGTCACACACGTTGCTCTGGAGGAGGATGGGATGGTCTGACCTAAGTTGAAGTTGCCTATTTCTGAGCGATACTGTCAAACAGACAACCTCCGTGAAGCCCTTGAGACCTTTGCAGCACACCTTGAGGGACCAGGGACAGACTGAAATCTCCCCGACCTTTTAACTGCATCACATCTGACAGCATCTTACTGGGTGTCGCTGTAGGATCGCGGATCTCAACCCGTGTCCAGCTTGGCAGGTTGCCAGGGCTTGTGTATCTGATCAGCAAATTGCTAACCCTAAAACCAACCAGGTACTTCCAGACCCTTCCATGCAGAGACACAGACCAGCTACTGAGGGGCTCCTGCAGAACCCAAGTAACTAGACTTGGCAAAGATGAATCTCAGTACCAGTTGTGTCCTGTTACTCCAGAGCTCTTCCCTATTGAACGTTCTCTAGTGTTTCTAACCAAACTCGGGCTTCCTGCTCAGGAGGAAGTGCTTTACCCTTCAGCCCATTGCTTGGTCTCTGCACTGTGCCCCTGAGCTAACGGCTCTTCTTGCAGGGAGCAGCCAACTCCAAGCGGTTTTAGTGACATTTACCTTTTTAAAACGATTAAACGAAGTCTCTACCCTGACACTGCTCTCTCTCAACTGCACGCAAATGGCCCAATTGTCTCCAGTGGGGCTACTTTGAGGAACACAGGAACACAGCGAGCCCACCCCACGAACGGCTATGAGGGATGGCATCGACGGGCTCCAAGCAAAGATTCTAAATCGATCGCATTTTACTGTAAAGCTCCGTCGACACTCGCGGCTTCTTGCGGAAGTACGGCTATTCTCGCGCAAGAATCTGCAGAGCATCCGCACTGCCCGCCCGCTCTTGCGCAAGGAAATGTACAGTACGGCGTGGTAAGAGGGGGGCTCCTTGCGCAAGAGTTATGCTCTTTTTAACAGGTGTAAGCCCTCTTGTGCAGGAGCTCTTGCGCAGGAGGGCAGTGTGGATGCTTGGCAGGGATTGCTTGAGCAAGAAACCCTTATGGCTAAAATGGTCATCAGAGCTTTCTTGCGCAAGAGAGCGTCCACACTGCCATGAGTGCTCTTCAGCAAACGCACAGCTTGCACATGGCAGTGTGGATGTTTTCTTGTGCAAGACTTCTTGCACAAGAAGCCGCCAGTGTAGACATAGCCTAAGTGTTCTTCCTGGGTACAAAGAGGTTTGGAACGTGCCTAACCGCAGTCTGCCAACAGTGCTCCCCATGTCTGGAGGGGGGCAAACCCTCTGAAGATGCAGGTCTTCGATTCAGTGAAAGTTGCTGTAACAACTTCCCCGGAAGCGGAAGCACACAGAGGTTTAACACAACACAGCCAGCAATACGGCCTTTTTCCAGTTCTGAGAGCCAGAGAGCATTCTAAGCATTTTCCATGCAAAGAATCCCAACAGGACTCAATTTCCTGCAGCTGCATGTGCCAAACGAGAAAGCTGCCAATGTTATTCAAGAACAAAATACTCTTCATTGTGGAGCCCACCCAGCGCAGGTGCTGCTGGCCGGGTGCTAACCCCCACACTGCAGTCACACAACCTCGAGTAATTAGCAACACAAAGGCACTAGCATGTATGCAGCCTCTCCTATTCCAAGGCTGCAAAGCAGGCACCAGAACCTGCACAAATTAATTCCTTGGGACTGTGAGCTTCCCCAGCCAATCCCTGTACTCCGGTCTCAGAGCTTCTCCAAGCTGCCCTGCCCAAGAGGTGACAAGCCTTCCTGCCACAATGACCCAAGCAGGGGCAGGCCTGCAGGCCTCTTGCCTTCTGGAAAAGCAGCCAAGCAAATATTGGAGCTGTTAGTAAAGATATTTACTCCTCACTGCAAAGGCGCAAACAAGGATCCATCTCAGACTCCGTGGCCACTTCTACCCTGCAAACCCTGGGCCTTCCTGAGCAAGCCCTTCTGGAAGCGGCAAGTCTGGGGCCGTATCAGACAAAAATCCCCAGGAAGGCCATGTCCTGTCGTTCTCCTCTGGGTCACGGAAACCCTGAGTGGGCGCTGGAAGCTGCCATTGGCTAGCAGCAGACTGGAGCTCCAGCTGCGTAGACAGTGCCCGACCCAGGCTGGGATGCATGCTGCTGTGTACACACCCCCACTGAGCACCCAGCCGGGCCCGAGCGCATGGGGCTCCATCAACCAGCGTGAGCACACATCCCACACTGCATCTTGCCCACGCCACACAAGCCCAAGGAAACACCTCCTGGGCCACGGGGTGCCGAGCCATTTGGCACCAGGCAGGAAGGGAGCCGTGCCAGCACATCCGATTTTATACCTGGCGTTTTCCCCATAGGCCCAGCTCCGGGGGCCTTGCTCTGTCTGAGTCTAGCTGTCGTGGCTGCGGAGGGAAGATCCCTAAAGCTCAAGCGCAAATGGAGCCCAACACGTGTTATTTTTTTAAAATCTCATGGTCACTGGGGGGGGGAGAGGCTTGGCTCATGATTCCTGAACGTCCAGGACCAGCAGTGCTGAAGGGCAGCAGGGCACCAACCCTGCAGCAGGATTTCAGCCAAGTGTGGTGGCGTTTGCCCCAGGGCCCTGCAGCTTCACACCAAGGTGCAGGCAAACTCTGCCAGGCTGGGCAGAGGGAGACGATCAAAGGTCAAACCTGAGCGGCTCCTGGATGCAGAGCGGAGCCAGGACGTGCCTGTCCCACAGGAGACATGGAAGCCAAGCGGCGCCTGCAGCCCCCCGGGGTGATGGGCCGCTCCCTGCTGAGGCCTTTGTGGTCTTGCCCATTTGCAGGGTTTGCACTGACTGAGGAAGCCGACCATTTGGCCTCCCTGTTCCTTGGCATCAACCCAGCTCCCTGGGCCGAGGGCCAGCATCGCAGACAGTCCAGGAATCCCCCACAGCCTGAGCTGCCTGGACAGGGACGGTTCTCCCCTCTCTCTAAGCTGGGCCGATGGCACCACGGACCACGCCAACACCATGGCAGGGAGGGGAACGACCAAGGGAGAAGCAGGCACAACTCCGCGGCGCAGCTCAGTACTATCACCTGCCGAACGGGGAGAGCCTCAGCTCCCCGGGCCTGCGACTCCTCACGCCTCCACAGCACCCATGGGTGACACCAGGAGCTCACTGAGCCCTGCACAGAATCCCTGGGGACACCCTCCCTCCCCCGGCGGGGGCAGAGCCAGGGACAGCTCCAGCAGAACTGCCAACAGCCGAAACAGGGCAACCCACTGACAGGGCAACCACCACCCTGCACTCACTCCAGCCGGCTCAAAGCACGGGGCCGGGGGCAGGCACAGGGCACCAAGGGCCACCAGGAGAGTGGGCTGCAAGCAGGCTCTTGAGCATTGGGGGAAATGAGTGTGGCGGGGGTATGAAGGGCTGTCACAGCCACGGCCCTGAGTTCAGCACTGACAAGGGACCAGCATGAGCCCTCTCCTCACAGGGCCTGCGAACAGCTGGCTACTCGCCGCAGCGACACAGGCTGGAACAAAGGACTTGGCACTTGGGGCCCTTTACCACGCCTGGGAGCTGAACCCCAGGGACCCACCGCTGTGGCTTTTCAGTGTCTACCAACAGCATTTGCTGAGGCTTGACTCCTGAGCCGTGTGGGGCCGCTCCACAGCTGGTGTATGTGCCTTCCCCAGCATAACAGGGCTCCTGGGCACCACTGTAATGACACAGCCACCCCCAGAGCAGTGCTCAGATCCCTGCCCTTGGGGGGCAGCAGCGCTACCAGGGAAACACAGAGCACAAGGACCCCTAGCAGAAATCCACTCCCAGACCCTGGCTGGCTCACAGAGGCGATTGTAACGTCACAGGGACAAAACCCAAACAAACCTGGGAGCTGGAAACCAAACTTCAATATTCCTCCACCATGGGTCTCAGTTTCTCCTCGTTGCTACCACACCCCCGCCTGAGCCCCCTCGGGAGACACAAGCCCCCCCTTTCTTGGCTTCATGTACTGACGGAGGAGAACACTGAGAACCTCCGTATGAGCCAGCTCCAAGGGCCGAGCATTTCTGGATGCAGATGCCAGAGCTGAGAGAAGTTAGGCCGGGAAGCTTTGTGAGATCATCCAGCCCTTCCCACGGGCCCAGGGCAGGCTGGGTCCCGCCCACAGGCTCCCTGAGGACGTGTCCAGCCTGGTTCCGAACAGCTCAAGGAAAGGGGCTTCTTGTGTCTCCCCTGCCAACACTGCTCTCAACGGCAGGGCACCCCGTCTATTCAGCTTTCACCACCCCATCCCAGCTCCACAGCACTGCTAGGTCAGCTCCTTGTACGCCCCCGCTCGCCCCAGCACCAAGCCAGGGGCCTGGCTCTCAGTTTCCCCACCCACCTCAGCCAGTGGCTCACTCCCATCTCCTGCTGGCCAGGGGGGCCCACAGCACCCCAGGGCAGCAACAGGCCTCTGGTGGGGGTGGGCTTTCCTGCTCTGGGACAACAGGCCTCTGGTGGGGGCAGGCTTTCCTGCTCTGGGACAACGTATGCCACAGCCGCCTCCACCCCGAGTCTCTCTCCCTCCATTGGCTGGGAGCTCCCCACCCACATCCCCCTTCCCGATCCGTCACTCTGTCCCTGGCCTCCTGCTGCCCACCACAGCCCCTGGCATCCTCAGGGAGCACTGCTAGCGCGCCACTCGCTACAGCATCCCGGCCTAGAGATGCCACCACCACTACTCCCCTCCCCACCTCGGCTCGGCTCAGGACGAACCCAGCCCCTTTCCCGCACCAAGCCTTCCTCAGCGGCCGCACCCCTCCCTCGCGTCACCATGGCAAGCAGCCGCCTCACTGCCACCACCCATCATGCCCCGAGCCCCACGGCACCGTCTCTGCAGAGGCGACTGCTACTCTTTACAGGGATTAACCCCTCCCAGCGCCAGAATGGAACCCAAACCACAACCTGCCCCGGCACTGCCATGGAGCCCCGAGCCCCGCTGTCCAGAAGCCAGCCGTCCCTGGTAACACTGCCATGATCCAGCCCCCAGCCCTGGCTCCTCACACAGAGGTTCCCAGGGGTCATAGCAAGCCGAGGGGTGTGACCACCAGAACCCAGGGTCCACCTGCCTGGACCTGCAGAGAAGAGGCTACAACATCACCTTGCACAGCTGCTTCACCTGATCTCACTCCAGTTTCCCGCCGCATGCTAGGGAAGGGAAAGGATTTCAGCACAGGGTGAAGATTCAGCTCTGCAGCCACCTGTTTTGTGCAGACACTGTACAGCCATCTCCTGGGCCAGGGGAAAAATTCAAGGCCTGAGACAAAACAGGAGAGAAAAACCCAAGAGCAGAGACTGGTCTCACCCACAGGAAGACATGAGCAAGTTTAAACTAATCCATCGCCCGCCCCCGGAGAGACTGACGCGAGTCTCCCGCGCTAGCGTTTGCTGCACGTGCTGTTGCTCTGCCCACACGGGGCAGCGCGCCAGGCAGAGGGGCCAGAGCAGCAGCCAGCTTGCCAAGCAGTGACCGCGGGTTTCTCTCTTCCAGACATGCTGGCCTGGGACACCAGCGTCCCTGGACCATGAAGGTTTGCTACAGCTGAATCCCAGGGCAGGCTAGTGAGCGGCTCTCAGGCTGACCACTCCATCTCCACAAGGCAGAGGGCAAACAGAGCTGGGGCTGGCAGGAGCATGACACCCATGAGCCGGCGGCATTTACAAGGGCACTTGCACTGTTGGACGGGTTTGTAGGAACAGCAGTGATCTCCCAGGAGGACAGAGCCCGTCATTTGGGCACAGCCCTGGGCTTCCTTCCCCTTGGCTGAGGGAGACGGTGGAGAAAAAACCACGCTGCTGCAGCTCCCAGGGCTTCTGCTGGGAAGAGCCAGGGCTCCCACAGGCTTGGGCTCTCGG